TTAAAAAAAGAATGCTAATCAATACTCAGACAGCCTTGTGGTAAGACACATCCCAAAGTATTTAGAGAGGTTCACCTTAGTTATGAGCTTGTTTTTCTTTTTCTTTTTTTGCTAATCATTAGTTCCTAATTTTTTTATGTATGCTATAAGAATAATTTACTAATTAAAAATATTTACATGCATTTCAAGTATGAGTCTAGAACTCATGAGTCACTTACTCTCCAAGAAAAACTATATCAGTGCTGATTTCTCCTGACTTGTAGCGGAGAAAATTACTCAGAAAAGCACTCACACTGTCCACAGTGATGTTTCCACAAACCACAATGAACCTAGAAATGAAGAACATAATGAGGCACATTTATTGAGGGACAAAGATTATTTTCCTAATGTTGTTGTTTCAGTTAAGTGTCAAGCACTATGACTCATACAGATCCTATGAACAACAGATCAGAACCTTGCCTTGTCTTTCTCCATACTTACAATCTCCACCATGCTTGAGATCACTGTTATAGGGTCCTCTAACTCGTTAAGGTGTTGTTGGGTTGTTGTTTTTTTTTTAAATTTTTTTTATTTTTCTCTGACCTTTGCCTGCATAATGTCTTTGTCCAAGGACATTTCCTCTGACAATATGTCCACAGTATATGAGAGGAAATTGTTGCTCATTGCCTTTGAGTTGAAACTGACTCATAATTGACCCTTCTGTGAGATTGGATTGAACCTTCTCCTTTATGGTTGGCAAGGTAACTCTTTACCACCATATCACCAGACAATTACCTTGAAACAATTTTAGGTAAACTTAGTATATTCATGACCCCAATTTACTTGTGCTCATTAATGATGGGTAACTGAGTGCCAAGGAGTTGTGCTACTAATCCAAAGGCATACAGTTGGAATCTACCAACTGCTCCTTGGGAAAAAGATGGGCAATCTCCTCTTTTATGATTTATTGTTTTTGGAAGCTCCCTGTATCACCAGCTGTGAGTTGATTCCATCTTGATAGCAATGTTGTTATGCTATTGACTTTCAATTGTCTCATAACAGATGTCATTATGAAAGTGAAAGCGTTACGTAAGGCAATGATTCTGTTATACTAGATCTTACTATGGAAAAATTTATACTGTTGTTGGTAAGTGCCATCGAGTCATAGACAACTCATAGCGACCCTATGAACAAAAGACCTGAACACTTGTATATCTTTTATCCAAGTTCATAGAGTTTCCGGAGGCAAGCTATTTTGGAAGTGGATCCCCCTTCTGCTTCTAAACTTGTTTTAATCTTTTATCAAGGGATTTCCTAAAGCTCCAAACCAAAGAGTCATGGACAGATGACATGGTGCACTACATTAGCCAACACAGTTACCTTCTGGGTGTTAGGGTGAAACTGTGCTCCATAGAGTGTTCTATGGCTTATTTTTCAGGTGAGTGATCACAAAAGATTCAGTCCAATAGAGAGTCATAGTTGTAAAAATCTATGCATTTAGCTTCTATGCTATACAGTAAAAAAATGCTGTTAACTTTTTATTTTAAAAAACTTTTCATTCCTTCTTATTGTTGTAATAAAATAGAAAACATACTTTTAGCTTAAGTTAGACTTAAACTTTTCAAATATTTTTCTCAATTTTTCATGTGTGCCATATGCTTTTCTTGAATTAAACTGGAATAGTTTAGATTATGTCATTGTTGTTAAGTGCTGCGGAATGGAGTAGCAACTCACAGCAACCCTATGGGG